CCGCAATTATATTATTGGAAGCACAATAAAAAATAGCAACAATAAAAAATTCAATGCTATTACATTATTGGAAGTGCAATATAAAATATTAGTAAATCACTAGCCTGCGTAACAAGCTTTTTTACGTACGAATCGATTGGACGAGGGCGTAAGTTGCGCAGGTTTGTAAATCACAGTTATATATTGGAAGTGTGAGTTACGCCAAGAGAGAACAATGCGAAATCGACTTCTCTTTGAAAGACAGAAAGAAAATGTTTGTCTCTTCAATGAGGAAGGGAAGGTTAAAAAAGTTTTAGACTCTAGGTTATTTGTCTTCCCATTGGTGTCTCTCACGCAACCTGTCCCTGCTGGCAGAGACCGCGCTCTTTTCTGCTTTTCGCTGGCGCAAAAAACAGGCCGTCTTTCCCTGAGGCCCTCGATACACACTGTCGATAAAATTTCGACAGGCGACACTTAAGGCAAATGAAATGGTAGCTTGGGACAAGGCTCCGCAGTGGAGAAAAAAGGCAAAAACGGGGTAATTTTTTTCCTTTTTCCCCCAATGAGGAGCCTGGTCCCAGGCTACTGAAATGGCCAGAAATGACTCAAAAGATGAGCTGAAATTGCAACTGTGGCAAAGAAAAGAGCAAATAAAAAGCAAAACAGCAACAAGGACATTCGACTTCTGACTGGGCCCCAGGGCCCCAGGGTGGTTAACCCTCCCAGCTGGAAAAAGTTCCAGTCTTCTGATGCCCTAAGCGGCCAATATGGCTGCCAACACAGCTGTTCGCATGAGTTGGATCAAAAAACGGCTAATTTCCAAACATATCGCAGGTCTAATGTTTTTTTCCAGTGATTTATCAAGTCTAACAGATTTGGTTTTTTATTTCGAAATTCTATTTACTTTTATCAGTGGGTGGATTCAGGTTGTATCGATGTTTCTCCTTGGCAAGCAGTCCATTGAACTCCACTCTTCAAGAACATCTGGGTAATAGGATCAAGGTAAAATTTTTCGAATGTTTTATTAGCAGAAAGGTCTATGTTCTTACACAGCTTGAAGGCCTTATTGAAATGTGGAGATTACTAATAAGTTAAATCTAAAAAGTAACGTAATGATTTATTTCTATATATCAGCTGGGAAAATTGACTGAGGGACATCCCACTCTGAGGGGGACATTGGGGGGTACCCAATACCGCAATACCGTAAGCAAAAATGGCAAATACCGAAATACCGCGTCGAAAATCGTCTAAATACCGATACCGCGTATTTTAATCACATTTATAATCGGTTCCGCATACTTATGGTTGCTTCCATCTAGCGCGTTTAATTATCTCAGGCATTTATGCACCAGATGTCCATGTATTTTTTAATATTTTGGTAAATTTTAGCTGAAAAGTAAACTACATTCGTTCAACCTTTTGGTAGGTCGACCCAAAATCTAAATAACTCCAATAAAAGTAACTCTTGAAAGCGCGAAAAACAAACCAACCAAATCCCTTTCCACGCACGTCTAGTGCGAGTTTTGATAAGGGACGGACCATTAGAAAACTTATTGGGGGGGCGGAGGGGGGGGGGCGTGCGAAGTACAAAAAAAATATTCGCGCAAGGGAAAATTAAGTGAAAAAAAATTCTCGTGCGCCAATTAACCCTAAAAAATATTCATGCTATGGCCTAAAAGAATTCATACAAGGAATTTGATAACGAAAAAAAATTCCTGCGGCTCGAAAATTCCCCCCCCCCCCCTATAACTTTTCTAATGGTCCGTCCGTAAGTAAGTCTAGTCTAGCACCTGGTCTCTCAGGGGTCAACTATCTCGACTGTCTCACACGCCGTGCCGGTAAGAGGCAAACTGACCAAATTTTCTCTTTTAACTTTACAAGGCGTTTTTCAATTCTCGAAACCCGACATCTAAACTTATTCTTGTTGCGATAGTGTTCGCCTCCTTTGCCCTCTTTAAAAAAAAAAAATTGCCACAGAGTCAATGATGACCACGCCGTCTTCAACCACAGTGACCTCAGCCACTGTGAGAAAACGTGTAAGACCTCGAATTACTGGCAAAGGTACACAGATCGAAAAGCCTGGTAAGGTAACTTGAGAGGACTCATTATCATTGGATGCAACAACAATCACATTGTATATTATCGACCGTTTAATGATCGATATACAGTGAAACCTGTATTAAGCGGACACCCTCGGGGAATGCTGTAGTGTCCGCTTAATACAGGGTGTCTGCCTAATACAGGTTTCGATAGATAATGTCATATGAGGTGTCAAATGCCATTCACATGAACAGTGGAAACGTTTAGAATATCCCCAGAGACTATGACGATATACGTTTGCACAAGAGACTATAAAGGGGACAGAGAGGGCATCCCCCATATACACCCTATTCCATAGATAATTCGTCTCGAGTTATTTTTAGAATCGGCATAAAGTTACCTCGCGCGAGGCGTGGATGTTTCGTGGATGTTTCGCATGACCAAACGCTGTGCAAAACATGTCGGGCGAGAGGCAATGAAAGCGTAAAAAGATCGAGAGTATTCCTGAATATTGAAGCGAAATGAGTCGGCGCTCACCTGGGAAAAAGGAATCGCTGGACTCTTTGACAACCTGTGAAATCAGTTTAACTCGAAGTTGTCGTAACCTCAGTGCTTTAATAAAATGAGAAATTTCGCCGGTCTATTGAAACCGGTCGTTTGTACAATTTAGGGAGTTTAAGATCCAACTTCGCACGTGCAACACACTTTTTTGTTCATTTCTTTCCCGTTTTTGCACGACTACGACGTGAAAATGCCTAATTTCGCGTTTTATAGAGGACGTAAACAAGCAACGACGAAATTTTATTTCTCTTTCTGAGCTTGAATATGGTCCCTTGAAATTCAGCTTTAGGAGGGTTCGCCTACAATTGACAAAGTAAGTGGGTAGGAATAATCGCTATAAAGACTGAAAAAATAAACATCAAACCAGAAATTGCTCTCTTCAAACTGTAAATTATAAATGATCCTGAGAGAATATTCAGTGTGTTATTTCCCTGCTCTACTGTTAGCTCTAGGGCGATTCTTTTTTAATTTCGGTTTCGCTGACACAGCTTTCAGAGAAATCTCGCTGTAGTCGTTTTCGTCGACAAAAGGAATGGCAAAATCCCTCTCCGCGTCTTCCCCATTTTGTTCTGCGTCATTTCGTGAAGGACGCGTGGCTCTCAGCGTGGGTCATCCACGCGGAACACATTCGCGCTATGTGATTGGCTGTTGTCTAATCCCCTTGAGATCTGTGGTGTTAAAAATAACTCGAGGCAAATTACCTATGGAATAGGGTGTGTATGGGGGATGCCCTCTCTGTCCCCTTTATAGTCTCTTGGTTTGCATTAATTTCTTTATTAAAGTGGACCAATTGATCATAGTACCAAAAACATATGTTACAACTCAAATTTGAGGAAATCAGATGAGTGAAACTAGCTCTATAGAAACAAAACGAAATAGAGAACTATACTGTACTGTGAAACTAATCAAACTCAAATAAGTTCGTCAAGTCACGTTTTTTAATGTAAAAATCGAAAAAAATTGAGGGTGGCAATCTTTCGCATTTCCGGCGTCTGGCATGTTGGGTGGTGGATTTAATTACAAGTGTCCGTTTAATACAGGTTGGCAACAATAGAAATGACCATTTCAGGTACTTTTTAGGTCTCCGCGTCCGCTTAATAGAGGGTGTCCGCTTAATACAGGTTTCACTGTAAATAAACTGTCACAAAATGACCCACAAATGGTGTAATCATTTACCGTTATGTCTCAAGACTTCTAAATATTAACTTTTATTGGCCTTTATGTCCTAATGTGTTTCGTTTTGCGTTTTGTATCGAAAGGAAAGCGCAAATAAACGGTACCGTAATACCGTGAACAATCTTATTTCACCGAATACCGTCAGCCGAAATGATGAAAAACCGGATACCGCAGAGCTAGATGATACCGCAATACCGCACGTTAAATTTGAAATTACCGAAATACCGCATGAAAAAAAGCCCAATACCGTAAACCCCCATGTCCCCCTCCACTCTTTATATATGCAGGTATTAATATTGAGAGATGGAGAGCGGGGCTGGGGGAGGGTTCGGGCATAGGTGTGGCATTCAAAAACTTCCTTTGTCCCCTCTTTGGGGATTTAAACCTCAATTTTTTCCCCAAACTGCAGTTTTGTTAACCCCAGAGAGGGATACTTTATTAGTGGAAATACCTTTATCGCAACAACTAGTGAAGCTACGACAGGGCAGCCATGTGAATAAAACTGAAACCAGCCAATAGGTAAAAAAACATATGGGAAACCAAACAAAGAAATACACAAAAATAAAACAGCGAATAATTAAAATTTTCCTGGCTGGAAGTCGGACCCTTGACCCCCCCCAACCCCCCCCTCCCGACCTACAACATGTAAGGTCATCTCCTAGAGGACTGCGCCACCTCAGCAAGTGTTAAATAGAGGAGGTAAATTATTATCTTTAGCATTTTCCCCCATGAAATTCTGCCAGTAGGAGCTGTTTGAAGCTGGTGGAGCTGAGTTTATCAAGAATTCAAGGATATTATGCTACCCCCTGCCCCCCTTGTCCAAACATCGATACCTGCATTATGTTCAAAGACAATACTGCTACCCTTTTGAGACCAAACAGCAAATAAGTCTACCCTATTCCAGACTACTGAACAACTATAAATTAGAAACTCTGATTCTTTATACCACTTTTCAATTCCAAAACATGATGCCGGTCCAGATCTCTGCATGATTTCTAAATCCTAACCCCACTAACTGTTGTACTGCCCTAAACCAAAAGTCAAGCCTTCACTTTGGCCTAATAATGAGGTCTTCTATGTGTATAGCCTTCTAGCAGGCTCACTTGTTTGGGGGCATACATGAGTATCTTGGCAGCAGAGCCGGCAAAGCTGGTGAGAAGAATGGCCGCCAAGATACTCGCGGGTGACCCAAACAAGCAAGCCTGCTAAAAGGCTACTATTTATGCATCAGAGGTCATGGCCAGATGGCCAGGAGGACTCTACTATCCTTGGCTTTATTAGCCATTATTCTACATGTAAGTTTGGAGCTATCTGTAGTGATAAACCAGTCTTTGCATTCACAGGCATCAGGTCCACTAACAGTTGCTGCCTTTATGCAAGAAGTCTTAACAAATCCACTGTCAGTAAGTTAAAGTGCACAACCTGTTTTTTGTGTATGTCATGCTTGCACCCGTCTAGATGATCATTGCAATAAACTTATTTTGATTCCATTATCTTTGCGCCTTTACTGATGTGGTTATAAAAATTTATTCCTAGATACTAATAATAAGATACAATCAAGCCTCCATGTGCAATCACTTCTTGTAAGCGACCACCTCCCAGAAATGACCTCTTATCCAAAACTCCAAATTTTTCCCACTTTAAGTCCTATAATTAAAACTTTTCATAATGACCACCTTCCATTAAGTGATTGCAATCACTATTTGGGCTGACAGTTTTTGATTTTCCATTGACCTCTTTGTGACCGCTTTTTTGTCATATTTTCATGCCAGGGGTACTACATGAACAGTGATGTATTTGGTCAGGCTGGTGATTTTATTACATCCCCTGAAATTAGCCAGGTTTTTGGAGAGGTACAGTATCAGTTAGTATTATTGACTAAACGTAGATAAAACTCCATAAACGTTGGAAGATAAAACTCCATCCATCTATTTGTTGAATAAAGTTTGGAATCAATAAATTACCATGTGAAAACAGGGTTATAAGCCACCAGTTTAAAAGTCACACAGACTTGGGATTTAGTAAGATTCTGTTTATTTTTGGATTAATATTATAAGCCACCATATGAAAAGGTCACACCAAAGGATTTTGTTTTATATATATTGTGTTTTTAAAGCTTATAGGTGTATGGTTTGTAAACCAGTGGATACTGTCAGGAAAGAAGAAAGTCCAGCTAATTGAGCTTGGACCTGGTAGAGGAACCCTGGCTTCAGATATGTTAAGGGTTAGTAATTAATACTTTAATAATGCAATGGTTGACCAAACTTTGATTGGGTTAATCACCCTTCATATGCTAATTAAAGCACTTATTCTTCTCAGAGCATACTGTGAAATTCTGAAAATACACCCCTTTCCATTTTTATAAACCCCAAAGACAATAAAATGGCTTCTGCAAATTAAAAAGCACCAGGGATCTTTCTAATATTAAATGGGAATTGTCTTTGAGAAACCATACATCAGGCCCTGGTTGTTCAAAAGCTGGATAGGGCTATCCGTTGGATAAATCACTATCCAGCTGATAAGTATTTGGGAAACCAATTACACTATCCACTGAATAGAGATTTATCCATCGAATAGCGTTATCCACCTTTTGAACAACTGGGGCCGGAATGATACCAGATAAGGGTGTCATGTCATGTGAATATTGCTGTTTTAGGTCAATTCTGTGCTGAAGTCATCACTTAATAATTGCTTAACCCATACTCAAAACGCTACCTGTAGAGTTATCAAGAAGTCACCACAAAGATGTTATCAGGAAGAACTTGGCGTGATAATGTTTTAGTAAGGCTTCAGTTATTTTTGCAGGCATTGCATCAAAACTTAAAAAAAGTTGGAGCAACCTTTTCACAGTCAAAAAAGTCCCAATCAATATTTAAGTGACTGATCATGAGACAAATAATAAACAAACCCTTTATACAATGCAGTCCATTCAATTTTACGAAGTTGAACTATTGTTTTGATGTTAGGTATTCCAAAAATTTCCTGAGCTGCATGGTAAAATTTCTTTACACCTTGTTGAAGTAAGTCCAGCTTTGAGTAAAATCCAAGAACAGACACTGACTGGCAAATTATTATCCATTCAAGAGGGCAAGAAAGAAGGACAAACTGATGCAAAAGATGACAGACTACAGGCAAACGAGGTACAGCACAAGATCTTAATCTTAAAAGTATCTCATTCTGCAACAACTTACTCAAGAAAGAAAGTAATAATAAATTATTAAAACCTCTTACATAATAAAAAATTGCAAGTTATTCATTTTGTTTTAGCACTTGCATCAAAATATAGTTTTAAAGTAGTTGACAATGACGATGACCAGAAATTAAAATTAACTAGCAAATAATTGCCCTGTCTTCACTCTTCACTATCCTCTATTAAGTATGTCAAAAAATTATTTATGTAAAAATTACTGCAGACTGATATGACCTTGATTTGTTATTTTCAGCATAATAAATAGGATATGCATCAGATCACAGGAAAAAATAAAGGATTTCCATTTTTGGATATTTTAGGATATTTAAAGAATACCCACAAAAATCCCAAATTTGGAAGAGTGAGACAAGTCCCAATCAGGGAACTTGGTTGGGAATTCCCTGGTTGGGACTTGTCTCGCTTTCCCAAATTTGGGGTTTTTGTGGGTATTCTTTAAATATCCTAAAATATCCAAAAATGGGAATCCGTTATTTTTTCCTGTGGATGCATGGTGATGAAGTAAACACTAATAGTTCTTTTTACTAATCTGCCCCTTAGGGTGCGCCAAAACCTATGTTCAATTGTCCGGGATAGATAGAAATTTAGTTCAGGCATGTATTCTAAACCTTTGACAAGATTTGTTCTTGGGAAAAGCACATTTTTAATAGAAAAAGTGTACAGAAACAGTTGAAAATTGACTTCAAATTACAGTAGAATTTATCTTATAGTCATAAAAGCAAACCTCATACTTGACAAAATAAGGTGAAATATTCTTTTTGACTTTGCCATTCCGCAACCATTTCATTTGATTTAATGAGCTCCATTTGACTTACGAACCTGGCAAAACTTTTGGACAAGAACTCTTGGGTTTGGGACAACCAAATTTAATATAGTGCTTGTCCAAGGGCCAAGGCTGGCAGGTTAATCTTTTATTTAAGCAATATCTTTCTTTTTTCATGTTGCTAAATGTAAAGGAAAAAAATTTGTGATTTCAATTTTAGGATATGTCAGCACTGTGTTATAGAAGGTGCATAACACAGGATGGTATTCCCGTGGCATGGTACAGAGCAGTTGAGGATGTCCCCGTTGAAGGAAACTGTTTTTTCTTGGCTCATGAGTTCTTTGATGCTCTTCCAGTTCACCAATTTCAGGTTTGTTTGTATGTTTCACTGTTGTAAGTAGTTCGAACCCAGAAGTCATATGATTGTCTGGAGGAGTGTTCCAGAGTTTACCATGAATAGGACTCTTCGTGACACAGGGAGCCTGGGCTGTGTGAACGGTTGAAGGGGGTGTGTTGTACTCGATGTTTACCATAATTGTACCCTTCAAATGACTAAATTCACTGTTATCAGCTACACAACATTTCTGGCAGTACATAAGTTTATTATAAATTCAATCATGAACAGTCACACAGTTTTTCTGGGATCTGTTGTGAACGATCTAGTCGGCAAATAATGGAAGATTACAACGGATTCAACCTTGGACGATGGCTTTATTTCGCCTACACGACTCGTCGTTCCTAATCCTATAGTCAGGCGTTCCAATGCCCTACTCAGGGGGAGTCTGGGTCCTAATACACAACAGGATCCTTTGTTGGTGATGGTCACTGACTCTTCAATAGCCTGTGTGGAAGTCATGTAACCTACTCACGGCCTGTTTTCTCACTCTTGAGTGCGCGTGTAAGGAAATATATAACTATGAACCGCGGAGATTTATTTACAGCAAAACAAAGAAGATTTAAAAAAGGATTCCTGATTGCTAGCGCAATAGAAGTCACCATGAGGGTCCAAGTGAATTGTGAATTGTCAAAATGATCCACAACTCACTTTTACTCTAACAACAACTTCTGCACAGGTTGTTGCGAAAACGTTTTTTCAAGTTTAATTGCTGTGTCTGCAAAAATCACCAACAAAATATTTTGGTTAGGGCTCCGTGATTAGGCTGTGTCGCAGACGCTCTAAACCTTCTATATAGAGCGGACTATACAAATGGTTTTGACTAGTGCGTGGGCCGGCTGCAACGCAGGCTATCCATGATGAAATTCATTTAACATGTTCTTTATAACTCTACAGGACCATTTTTTTTGTATGGGTAAAGACACTTAGTAATGACCCTTGGCACAGAATTGATCTATAACAGCAATATCCCGGTTACATAGTCAATTTAAGGGGATACAAGGATGGCTGCTGGGACCCCAGTATCGGAGGCGTGTGTTCTGCGATCAATGTCCTGCAAACAGCTAGGATCAACATTGTCAAATTCTCCGCATCATGTGTAGCATATAATTTGACGAATTATATTTATTGTTTGTTATCTTTCAGAAAACAGATCAAGGTTGGAGAGAAGTTCTTGTAGATGTCGAACCAGGCAGTGGGTTTGTAAACTGTTAGTTTATTGTTTGCAGGACTTATATTTACTATTATTTTTAAAGTTTATGAATTTCATGATTGTATTGAACTTGCTATTGGTTTGTCGGCGTAATAAGCCACACAAGATATTCGCTAGAAGAAAGAAGAGATGGGATTAAACAAATTTAAACTTTTTCTCAGCGTTCTCAAAAATTTTGAAGCGTTCGTTAAACGTCGTTAACTTTGTTGCATCTGTATAACTCGTCTACATCTCGCTGATTGAGCTCAAATTTGTTGAGGAAAAAGGCTGCCTGTGACCATTTGACTAACGTGAGATCAGGCCCAATTTTAGCGGTTCTCATACTTTCTCTGTAATTGTAACTACAGAATACCCTTTGAAATCAATTCCTCTTTGCGTACTTCGATACTCAGCTTGCAGTGGCTAATTAATTGATGTTTGAAGAACATAAAATGTAATAATCAGTTGACGTAGGTTCAGACAAAAAAATGTGTTGATGAGCCGGTCAATAGGTTCGGCGAATTCATAAAAGAACAGGCGAATCGCTTTTAAGCAAATTGCCCTTGGACGAAATGGTTGCAAACTTCTAAACAAGTCTCTCTTTAATCTTCAATTTTCGCTCGGGAAATAGCAACTGTTTTTCTAGACTAATATACAATAAAAACCGGCAAATAAGAACCCGCATTTTCCTATATAACCTTAACAGTTACTTACATAAATGGTAATTTGCACACAAATTTAGTCTATTTAGGTCCTTAAAGAAGTCTTTATTTTCAGAAGAAAACAATACATTGTAGCTGAGAGTATTTGGTGGTATTCAGCTCGATTTTCAGCTCTGGAATTTACATTGCAGTTGGAGTGATAAGGCACCTATGTAAATATGGCTCTAAAGAGGATCCTAAATGTTGACTTATGTTATTTGCCCAAGTGTGCAGAATTTTTTTCGCAGTTTTTAAAAAAATAAGAACCTGTTTCAAATTTTAGGCTAAACAGACTCTTGTATAGAGAGGGCCTAACTGGCAAATTTTCGCCTAACAGGTTCTTAAAAACCAGGTTCTTCCTCGAGGGTTTTTTACTGTTTTCAGTTATTATGTATTTTCAGGCATTTAAAAAACATAAATTACACGAAGTTCTGCACGATCCTGGCAGTGCTGATGTGACAGCCAATGTTGATTTTGCCTACCTGAGAAGCGTTACGCGTGGAAAAGGTTGGCATTAATTTTTCTCTCTCTCTTTTATTTTTTCGATTCGGTGGATTTTCCAAATATATACTTCCCTAATAACAAATACTGTGAAAAATGAAACCGATTCGTTTTAACGAAAATTGTTAAGTTTCTGGCTTGAAAGAAGTTGCTAATAACCGTGATCTGGAATTAGCGGCCGGAAGGGTTATTTCATCTTTGGAGTCGAGAGGAAGACACTAACTCGAAGGGAAGGGGGGAGGGGGTGGGGGTGCTTATCTCTCTTTTCTCAACATGGTATTTGTCTTTGTTTTGAATAAGACAAACTAAAACAAGGGGTACATGTACACCAACCCACGGCCTGGCCAGTACCTCACGCATGCGTACAGCCATATCACCCGGGCAGTGGCAGCAATGGACAGCTGTTTCGCCCTCGCTAGGGCTCATCAGCATGGCATAGCCGTCGGGTCATTGAACGGGCGAACCCGTGTCTCAAAGACGGCTGTGCGCATGCGTGAGGTACTGGTCAGGCCGTGGGTTGGTGTATGAGTAAATGAACGAAAACAAACAGGAAAACTAGAACCTTCTTTCAGTTTTTCAGTATGTACCCAGAAGTGTGTGTGTGGTGGGTATTCTTGGCTTTGAAAGTTCTGTTGTAAGTAAGTTCTTTCGGTACGGCCCCAATTTGCTCGCCAATCGAAATGGAGAGCTTGATCGCAAGCTAACGACGCGACGGCAGTAAAGACGGCGCGCGCAGATGCGCTTATTTGATACTAGTGTACTAACGCAATAGTACAGAAAGAAGACGGCAAACCGTGCGTGACAAGCGTGACCGATAATTTGTTTGAAAAAGTTTTCCGCCAAACCTCATTTTCTATCAAACAAATCTTTTTGTAAAAGACCAGAACACATTAGTAATATGTGAAGTTCACGACAAAACACTCAAGTAATAGCCCTGTCACGTTTGTCACACACAACGTTTTGCCGTCTCCTCTGATAAACTCACAATGTTTACCCTTAAGAGGGTCGCTAGTATGAAGTGGGCGCTTATTTAAAGAAAAGGGCTAATTCGAGCAGTTATGTTAAAAACTGTAGGTAAGTTTTAATCCCAATCTTTGATTTAAAACTTCACAGTTCAGACGTTCGGACCAGTGACACAAAAGTCATTTCTTCAGCAAATGGGTATCGATATGAGAATGAAAGTAAGTGATTTAGTGATAGCAGGGGTGTATGCATTCTGTCCTGGCACTGGACACAGTCTTATAAGAGGTTGAAAAACCAATGAAGAGCTTGGTTTAATTTCTGACTTTTTTATCTTGATCCTTTCTAAGGTTCTTCTTCAAAACGCGAATCCCACTCAAGCAGAGGAGCTTCAAAGCGGCTACAGAATGCTGACAAGTAAATCAGAGATGGGAGAGAAATTTAAAATGTTTAGTCTAGTTCAACACGGTCTTCCGCCACCAGCTGCTTTCGCTTTTTAAAACAGCACAGAGGTTAGGCATCGCGGGTACTGCCAACTATAGAAATCTCCTTCCAAGCGAGTGGTTATATATTCGACGATGGTAAAAAAGAAAGATACGTATTTATTGATTGAAAAAAGATATTCTCTTTTTAAAAGTTAAAAACGGCAAAAGTTGTAAATGACTGGAAAAACAGTCACGTTGCCATTTAGTCTACCGCTGGCGTTTTGAACATCGTGGGTTGTCTCTCTAATAACCAGGAGAAAAGTAGAGATGTTTAATTTGTGCGTGACAAAAATGGCCAAAAAGGTACAATGTGCGACGCTAGCGGAGACTTGCCGGGAGGAGCTGCAGTTCTACAGCGTAGCTGCTTCGCGCAGGAATTTTCGTGAGTGGCGAATCAATTTTCCCTTTTCTATAGGAGAGATACTATTTCAAGACACTTTGAACTACGTTATTGAATGTGTTTCTACTGAAAACCAGGAAATCAGCAACCCAGTATCGAATCCAGGCCTGTCATGTGCTTACCTGTCTTCCTTACCACAACACTACCAAACCCTCGGCGGCGAAGTCCTCAGTATTTTGACTAGTTCACCTTTTATCTCCAAGTGCAAAACCCCACCAGCTACGCAGGCTAGACACACTATAGCTAGCATTTTCTATGTAAAGTTAGCACGGTTTTTCTTCACCACAATCTCAACAGTACATCACGATCACCGCACAATCCCTTTATTTAATCATCGTTGGGAGCATTCGAGAACAGCTAATAAAGCCGTGAGTGAAAATTCGTAAGGAGACTAAATGTAAATACATTGGCAATAGCATTAAAATATTCTTGAGCACTAAATATAATTCTAAGGAGGGAAAAAAGGACATAACCACTTGAATTGGAGCTGATTAGTAATGGCCGTTGAGAAGCTGCCCGCGGACTGGGTTGGTGTTGTGCCGAATTACACTATGGGACTGTGGAGGAGCCGACAGTGCTTCTTTTTTATAAAAAGAGAAGTGTTGAGATTATGGGTTTGGTTGGCATCTCCAGAAAGAAGACATTGAAATCTGCAAAGCTGATCGTACTACACGACACCTAAAGAACCCAAAACAGAGTTGTTTTCGTCATATATGTTTTTTGGTAATTCATTTCTATATATTTGTTCTCTATGTTCAAGTGTTCGGAAACGTTTCGTAGTCGTATTTGTATGCTTGCCAGTAATATTGAACTTCTTGCAAGAAAGTGAAGCAACAACAAAAACAAGTTTTGCGGTGGTGAGATCTTGGCTAAAAAGCAAAAACAACAACAAGCATTTTCCCCCACGGTGGAAAATACACTCGAGCAGCTTAACACAGGCTTTATTCAAAACGCGGCATTCTTGCCTGGTTGAAAGATTTATGAACCAGCGGAAAGACGATTGTACACCTGTACACGGACGTTGCTTTATTTTTCTTTTTGATAAGCGACGTGCGCGCGCGGACGCGGGCTCGGCGGACTTTTTAAGAGAAAATAGAGGGTCTGTGAATAGGATAAGATTGCGGATGAGATTTTTGGTCGAGATTAACTCCCTACGACCACAATGCAGGTAGAGATTACAACTCTAAATAAGGCTTTAAGAGGCTGTCCGCGTAAGAACCGATAAGGCAAATTTCGGTCTATCACGGATTGCCCTGATTTTTCCAGTGGAAGATAACTATCCTATCCCATGAAGAAATATCACATTTATTTGGACCAACTCATTTTTTTCTCTGTATTACAAGAAGATTTTCTCGGTCACCTAAAACTAGCCAGTTTGCCGTCGGAAGTGGTGCGATTTTAAGGAAACTTTAGGGCTCTTGCAAACCTACCTTACATAGCCGAATAAGCTGATTATTTTACACACAAATGTTTTAACTCTGATTAATAGTTTCAAGGTTTAATGGTTACATTCTGTGGAAAGTTGGCTGAGATATGATTTTTTTAAAATGACCTTTAATTTGCTTATCGGGAAAAGTAATTTGCATAACTAGAGCTGAACGGTAATTTCGCAAAAGTGGCACCTGACCCCGACTCAAGTCTATGATAAAACAGAAGTACTAAGACCAGTCTACTTCTTATTGCAATAAAATTTGTGGGCACTCCTCTTTGCGTGCTGTACAAAGTTCCGTTAATGTTCCAAAATTCGCCATTTTGACAGCAAAGCTGGAATTGTAACGGTCTGCATCTGGTCGACTAATTTCCACAACTTTGACATATCTAGTTATCACTAACTGTCATTAGACAGTTTAAATGTTGGACTTTCGAAAACATGTGAAGAAAACTTGGTAATCGCTTTTTCTTGTTTTTTTTTCTTGTCGACGATGAACATGACTTCATTCTCCGTATGCAAATTAGCCTTACTGCGTCGTTTCAACAAATTGACAGGAAATATGATACTCGTATTTCGTATTTTTAAGGGAAAAATAACTCTTCTTTCTATGGAAAAACACGAACGATGTATGACTTAGAATCCCCTTGGGTCTGTTTCTTTTACGAGGAAGAAGCAGCAGAAGAAGAAATGTTTACGCGAATTTAAAAAAATAATTTAATTACTGTGGCTCGTCACGCATTCCGCCAGAGTGACCGTGTATCGATCAGTTCTTTTATCTTATTATATCTTTTTTGAGGTGATAGTTATTGATAATCATACAATTTAATCACTGTTAATTCCGATTCTTTACTGGGTGGGAAATACCGTGCTGTTGTATTTATTCATTCTACGACCGTTTTAACTGAGTCAGGTCAGTCACGGCCCATGGTGTAATACACGACAATTAACCAAAAAGTAGTCACTTGGAAGAAAAGAAAAAGGCATCGTTTTTTTGTTTACGGTCCGTCTCCTGTTAAAACCCAAAAGTTTTTACCGGCTGTTAATCACACTAAATTAAGGATCCCTATGTTGTCGATGTTTACTACTGAGCTGATGGAGAAAGGCACGTGCACTCAGCGAATGAAAGACGAAAGTTTGTAAATTAGGCCTCCTTTTCTTTCCCTGGATTTGAATGGTATTTTACAGTGACACAACTTATTTTTTTTTAGCATTACCTAGGGCTGTAGCTAGGTTTTTAGTAACGAGGGGCATTATCGCGAGAGCCGAAGGCACGAGCCTTGTAGGGGGGTCTGGGGGTGTCCTCCCCTAGAAAAAATTTCAAATTTGGAGGCTCCGAAATGCTATTTTCAGCACTTGTCATGAGATATGTCTCCGAAAAATCAACCTCGAAGATGAAAATGGCAAACAATTGCAAGTCACTATAATCCACATAACTGAGTCTAAAGAAAACAAATTCATCCACAGACTTGATTTGTCTGGCTCAACAGGTCCAGGGGAGGCAGCTGCCCTACGGCTCTGTTACCACGTTGAACTGGCTTGGTTGATCTTTCGTTGACATATACATAGGTTGAAAGCTTCTGATTGAGGGTGTTGTGGTCTCAATTATTCTTGAGCGATTTCTGCAACAAGCTTTTGCCTTTCGAACACCTCGTCTTCTTGCTGCAGATCTCTATAGTCAAGTTCAATGTATATTCAAGTTCATTACATTGGTTATTTCGTCCATTGCCTTACTGTAATTACACTATGGACTATGTTTAGGTGTTGACTCAAACTGGCCTAGAGTCCAACATGGGCTGGCAATAGGTGAGCACGGAATTGGAATGGGGGTGGGGGAAACTCCCTATGATGGGCTATACGGGGAGGCTCCGCCCGAAAGGGGTATCTTTTTCAGGCTTCAGGTATATGAAAGGGTAGGCATTTCACTAGATGAAGTATATGAAAGGGCAAGTGCGCTTATTGCAGCCTTAGCAGCACCTTTGGCGGTTCTTAAAGGAAAAAGAACTAAGTTTAAGAATTTAAGGAAAAAGTAGAAGGACTTAATTTTTCAGGAATTAATATGCAGAGGAGAAAATTCACCCTTTAAGTATAAATGCTTGTAAAAGTAGAGGTGGAACCGGAGGGAGAGAGGATGGATCGTAAAGTAGGTTAAAAATATAGAGATGGGAGGAGCACTTTGATGGAGCACATTGTTCAAGAGGGTATAAATACAAAAAAAAAAACAGCAATCTGAAGGTATTTTTGAAGACTTAATGGAAACGTTATCAAAACAAGAAAAACAGAGAAATCTTGTCCAATAAACCTCTCCGGCAACGGTGTGGACATGGTTGCTGACTGCTCAATCGTACTCTTCTCGACCCTTTGGCGTCAAGTTTTTTCACGTTTCTTGCTACAGGAGGAGCAAATCGGCTATATAAAGTTGAACTGAACATTCTGGTACTTTTAAGTCTCACTAATTTTTACAAAACCAGAGACATGTTTTAAACACTGTTCAAGTTAAAAGAGATTGTTTTTATTGCAAGAATGAAACACACACGTCCCAAGGACATTCCTCTTAGAAAATAGCAGGGGCGGGAAAGCCCTGGGGACGAGGTTGAATCCTGACTCCGTGTAGAAAGTTCTTTCTTTTTTCCCCATTTACAATGCTCTTCAAACAATCATCAGAAAACTATCTTCTACAACACACGGATTAACCTTTATGTATAGTATTTTATAGGTGAGAATTGATTAGAGCAAGATACACGGCTGTCAAAAAATAGAAATAAATAAACTATCTTTGCAAGCTCAACTAAACTGGAAACGAATATCAGAAAACATCGCAAGATAAAATGTTAAATGGAGAAATAAGAATATCTCTGTACGTTTAGAAATATTTTGCGTGAAGAAGAAAAAAGAATGATACTTACATGATGAAGCAAAACTTTGACTTATTTCCTGCCACAGTAGTTATTTTGCCAGTATGATCCAGAGTGTGACCAGGGTATTGACAAGATCTTAGGCTCGATTTCCGCCGTCTCCCAATCCCTTGGGGGCTCATTTTCCAGCACAGCCGCTTACAATCGAGCTTAACAAGATCTTGGCGTTCGCAAAAACCTGCCAAGTAGGTGTCTGTGCCTTGGGCAGATTGTCATGTTAGTGTTAGCCTGTGTACACACCACCCCCGACCCCCTCGGAGAAGGGGCCCCTTCTCCGATTTTTCCTAAGGGAAGGAGGGAGGGTCTGTACACAGGCTATTAGTGTTTGTGCCTTGGGCAGATTGTCATTTCAGTTCCGAATACCTACCAAACACTCTCGCTAAAATGAGTTCATTTAGTCATTGACTTTGCTACACTTAGGCAAGTGACAGCTGGCTAAGTGCGACGTAATATCATTCATGCACTCTGCGACCAACACATTTCCCTCCACACCCCTACTGGGACCACACTCTGTCTTGACGATCTCGCGAAAAGAACAGCTCTTTTAACAATTGATCTCTTTGGCGATTGCATTGATATAATTATATTTGAAACTGGCACCTGTTGCATTATAATTCAGTTACATTGAAACCAAAACAAGATCATCTTGGGAATACGGATGTTATACCCTAACAGGAGCCCATAGGCTCCTGACCCGAAAAAAAACTAAAAACTGAGATAATCCCTTTTCTCCTTTCATTCTGCTACCGATAAATGCTTTAAAGATCTTTGAATGAAACTGAAATTTACAGCTAATTTGCCTTTTGCAAAGCTATACATGGATTTAGATAGAAAAAGTGTGGGGCATTTTTGTTAATCATAGTGCCGTGTACAAACATCTGATAAGCAAAAAAGAGTGCCCACAAATTTTATCGTGGTGACAAGAGGACTTACCTTGCAAGTTAACTCTTATTTTTAATTATTATCATTAACTACCATTTAAAAAAGGATGATAATATAATATTATTGATCGATTCAACGCTATCGTTTTCTAATCGACCGCCCCTCGTTAGGAATGCGTGACAGGCCACAGTAATTGAATTATTTTAAGCCACGCAAACGTATATCATGATATATTATTCAGCTGCTTCTTCCTCGTTAAGCAAAAAAAAAAAACAGACCTTAAGGGGATTCTAAGTGATGGTTCGTGTTTTTCTGTGGAAAGGAGAGTTTTTTTCTCCTTAGAAATATGAAATGTAAGGATTATATTTCTTGTCAAGTTGTTGAAACGACGCATCTAAGGCTAATTTGCATACGGAGAGTGAAGTCACGTTCATCGTCGACAAGAAAAAAACCAAGAAAAAGCGATTACTAAGTTTTCTCCACATGTTTTCGAAAGTCCAACATTTAAAGGGTCTAATGACAGTTAGTGATAACTAGAAACGTTAAAGCTGTGGAAATTAGTCGACCAGATGCAGACCGTTACAATTCCAGCTTTGCTGTCAAAATGGCGAATTTTGGAACATTAACGGAACTTTGTACAGCACGCAAAGAGGAGTGCCCACAAATTTTATTGCAATAAGAAGTAGACTGGTCTTAGTACTTCTGTTTTATCATAGACTTGAGTCGGGGTCAGGTGCCACTTTTGCGAAATTACCGTTCAGCTCTAGTTATGCAAATTACTTTTCCGATAGGCAAATTAAAGGTCATTTTAAAAAAATCATATCTCAGCCAACTTTCCACAGAATGTAACCATTAAACCTTGAAACTATTAATCAGAGTTAAAAAATTTGTGTGTAAAATAATCAGCTTATTCGGCTATGTAAGGTAGGTTTGCAAGAGCCCTAAAGTTTCCTTAAAATCGCACCACTTCCGACGGCAAACTGGCTAGTTTTAGGTGACCGAGAAAATCTTTCTGTAAAATAGAGAAAAAATTGAGTTGGTCCAAATAAATGTGATATTTCTTCATGGGATAGGATAGTTATCTTCCACTGGAAAAATCAGGGCAATCCGTGACAGACCAAAATTTGCCTTATCGGTTCTTACGCGGACAGCCTCTTAATTCTTTGCTTGCGGCCAAATGGTCTTTCTTTGGTACAATAAATTTAACCTCAGTTTATTAAACAATTTCCCACCGAAAAAGAGACAAAGGCTTCGCAGATGAAAAAGGAAGAAGGGTTTACTGCGTCAGAGGAACCATTAAAACGCAAACAATGGCTGAAGTGAATAGGCAACTCAAAAGTACAACCGATGAATGCATTTCACATGAATTCCTTGGCGCCGATGTTGTCTTTTAAATCAAAATAATTTAGCCGCAAAAGGAGGTGCTGGCACATTGTATTTGACGAAAGAACGAACAAAGATCTCTCGCCCACGTTCGCCTGGCTTTTAAACAGGAATTTTGTGGATTCCAAAAATTCCGCTACACTGGTTGTAAACATCAGAAAGCATTTTATACGTGTACTGTTAACTGTTCACCTTCCGAGAGGAATTTGGTCAAAATACCACATTGAGTAGAAAAACTTGACTAAAAATATACAACACATCGTTTAAGGTTAGTGGGAATTTTTTTTTTCTCATTTGGCCCTATGCACAAGGCTAGACATACTCGGAACTTCCAACTAAGCTCTGTTAATTCGTGCTACATAAACATCATCACGAATAAAACTGTTTCTTACATTGTTTTGAATTATGATTATTAAATAGATTGTCATCCAAAGGCTTAACTTCATAAAGACGCCTTAATAATGAAGTGTAATTCACAGTACCACGGAAAACGTACTGCGTAGTAGCTTTCATTAAAATAGGCCGCACTGGGAGACATCTTGCACCGACTTAATAGGTGTTAGCAGCCGATTTATCACACGCCTTTGTGGGTGACTGGGTTAAGGGTTTCTTGAGAAAGACTCTACAAAAGCAATGACTTTTTTTTTTCTGCAGAACTCACAGGTGCCATACATTGAGCGATAAATAGAAGCTTACAGTGTTTTACAAGTGCTAATTATTGCATTGTATGTCAACGTTACGTCGGGACCTTTAGTGGCGCAAAAGCAAAGCAAGTGGAATTTGTTTCACAAGTGCAAGTGATTTACTATGACGCGAGTTATAGTATAAATGACGCATTATTTTGGGAGCTGAGAACAAATCTAGCAGTATCGCTTTGTCCAAAACTGCAAAGATTTCGTGCAAATATCTGCAATGACACCTTGAAATCGGTAGTAAGTGTGACAATAAACAGCAGGTGACTAATAAGATAATCTTTCTTTGATTTCAATAATTCCACCTCATTCTTTGCATTTGCACATTTGTCGGAAAAATTCAACCAGGATTAGCCGATACACGCGCCGCTTTTGGCGGGAAAATCAGTCATTGTTCCCCGCAGCGATTAATTGTCACCGCTTTACAGTACAAAGATTATCTACCGACCTTTTGTACAATAGTGTCTTTAAATACAGCTCATAATCGACTTTTAATGCCTGGATAATAGTATAGCTTAACACTCTTTATGAGTTTGATGATGCTACTTAAGTTTATGACTCTTTCCTGGCGGATTACTAACTGGTCGTCAAAATAACTGAGATATACAAATTTATCAGAGACCTTCTACATATGTACCCGAAGAGTGTCAATGATTTTGCTTCCGAACTAAAATTGTCGGAGAAGATTAAAGCAGTTTAACCTGTAGGCTAAAACTTGAGAGAGATTATTTGTCGGCGGGGCTCTTTGATCCGAAACTAACACAACACGCCGCTAGTATAAAAGCAAATTTTCTATACCTGCCAACTTTTTCTAAGATGTAGGCGTGAGATTTTTATCCTGGGAGTGCTGAGATTTTTGAAAACGACACGATCATTTCCGAAGATTCCCGAAGAAGTCCGAAGTCTTCCGAAGACGTCCGAAGTCTGCCGAAGGCGAAGTTATCGAGAAAACGCTTATCCACAAAATCAGAGATCGCGAGGAAGGTATTGTCATTTATTCATTTTACACATGGTTTTCGTTCCTTACATGGGTCTGAGTTAACATATTTTTGGAAATTGTGTCAAGCAAGACGGCAACAACTCACATTTTTCAATCAGGCGTGAAAAAATTGGTCCGCAGGCGTGAGCGGGCGTGAGATCGAAGTTTTCAACCCACAGGCGTGAGACTCACGCCTAAGGCGTGAGAGTTGGCAGGTATAATTTTCCCATAAATAACAAGAAATATAGCGGTCATACTAGTTTTTATTACGAACTGCATTGTCATCTTGATGGGCCCGCAGTCGATCTACAAACAGCGTCTTCAGCCGGGTGGAAAATGAGCGAGTTTGCCAACTGGCAGCTTGGGTGGTCGGCGCTTAACTGTCCCTGTACGTAGGTCACTGAGTTTATGGAAAGTTATAATTTTAGATTTAAAGGAAAATTCACACATACCGCTTTCGTCCTTGGTTTTGTAGCAGTCATAGCAAGAGCTATCGACATGGGAACCGTTCACTCTAACAAATCCTCTGGCGTTTGTAGAATATAACCAGACAGTTAAACTGTCTGGTTATATTCTACAAACGCCAGACTGTTTTTGCTATACTTGTGTACTCTGTTTTTGAACTCTATAAAAAGGTAGAGAGCAGAAGTCAATTAGGTTGATATTGTAGGCTAACACTTCGATTACTATACAATAACTGTTTATTTGCTATTGTTTTATATGAACTGGCTAGACAGTCCTAATGTACGACTAGCAGAATTAGCCTCCGTCAGAGACCAATGAATTTGACTCACCACGAGTGCCCAATTCGTTAAAACCCCTCGGGAAAGAGTCTTTGTATTTTTTAATTGCGCGCGCGATAAGGCGTACTTTGGATCTAAGAGGATGTCTTCTCTAGTAATCAAGACGTTGTAATTTAGATAACTTTAAAAAAAATCACTTTTATTTTCGATTAGAACATTGCGTGACCTTCCAATCATGAAATAATAATACTGACTCCACTCAGTTTTACTGACTGACGTAATATTTGTACTCAGATTAGACAGCCAAACGTCGTCTCACTTAAAACACTTACCAAGATTTGTGCAATGTTCATAGTAGGCAATGCCATTGCCCTAAAAGATAAACAAGAAATCGATGATAAAGCATTTTTAAACTGATACTTGTTTAAGACAATGTTAGACGTGTACGTGAATTAAAGCGACCATAAAATTAGTCTTTATGGGCATATCTATCCACGTGGAAAGTTCAAAACAAAAAAACTAAAAACATACAATGATATTTTACCTACCTTGTAAAAATTAACACCAAGGTGAATACCCATAGAAAACTTATAGTTCTGCACATCATGTCAAACATCTTTCGTAAATTAATTCGGGATTAACGAAAATAAATAAGCTCTTGTTAGTTGTGTTCTACTCGGATGACTTTGTTCGAATGAATATCCAACTACTATAAGCGAATTTATCTAACCGCAGACATAAACCGGATTTCACTCCATGGCCCAGCCCTTTTAGCGATCGATTATGTCAGTCTGTCGACAGAAAAAGGAAAAAAGTCCTGCAAAAGGTGTTGTTAGTCATAGAGGGATTTTCAATGACATTGTCTTGTTCATGTCAAGGAATGCCCCGGGCAAGCCCATCTTGTCTGTCCTGAATATCGGAAATGACAGTCCACACGCTCAAGAATATGATCGCGGGAGTTTGCTGCGTTTGTCAAGTTGTCAGGTGACTGTCACACATTCCGCGCATAGCTTTATTGCCGTTTGTATGGCTTTGTTTATATTGACGACCCGATATCGAAAGCTGTTTTCAATTCTACTCGTTTTCGCAATTCTCTCATCGTCTAAGTACGAATCAGCGGGGATCCGAGTTGTGATGTCATACATAATGTAATTATAATCAGTGAGCCCACTGATGAGGGACCCTGGGCGCAAGTTAAGTTATGCTCGCATCAGCGAAAATGGGGGAGATTAACCGTATTTCCGCCTATTACGAACAAAGGACAAAATATTTCTGTTTAAATGCTGCGTAGTAGGCCAAGATATCCCGCACTGAAGGGAAGCCGGATCGAAAAGGTTACATCATTTCTTTGGTAGTAATTTTTTTTCCTTCGGAAGTTATTTCAGTGGAACTCATCTAAGTTGTGGCCAGCCTTTTACGAAAGCAAATGGACTGAATTTTTTGTATTTGTTCCCTTTTGTTCGGATTTGCGATTGTCCGTTATAGCGGGCGAGAAAATAAAAAGAAAAACAGGAAGAGCTTAAGAAGTTGTCACGCAAGGACTCAGGAAACCAAAAAATTTAAGCCTAAACATTTTCAGATACCATAGTCGGCAATAGTTATAGAATTTAACAGTTCAGCTGGCAGAGTATCAACATTCTTTCAAGCGAACTATTACGCTAGGTAAAAAATATATATATATAAATTTTCCGCCGATAATCGCAGATCACTACAGGTAACTTCACCTCGATTGTTGAAGCACTCATCGATCTTTATTGTGACATGTTCATATGGTTGAGGAATTTCTGTGTCCGCGCGTTTCAGGCACTGTTCGTATCGGCTGACGATTTTGGAACCATTGAGATACTTTTGGGAACCGCCATAGCATAGAGAACATTTTTATTCTAAAGAGACTTCTCATTGACGAAGTTTTCCGTAAGGAACAAAATTTTGTCCCACGGAAAATCCAGAAATAACAGCATTTTTAATTCAGTATTGACGTCAACTCGCGGCATTGAAAAAATAACTGCAGAGATATAACCTGTTTCCAATATCTAAAAGTTGCAACTTTCTTTCATCTCAACATGCCCAAGTGGCAAATATTATTTCTACTGTGGCAGAATACGATGTAGTAACAAGCTGCCTTGCTGTCATCCCACCAACCGTTAGGTATTATTTTATTTTTATTTTATTTTATTTGCCACACTAATTACAAAAAATATAGGAAAAGAAGAAGAAGAAGAAAAAAAGAAGTGGCGAGGAGACCTAACAGAAACTATAGGAGCTTATGAGAGGTTAGGCCTCCTCGAACTATGAGCTAGAGCTGTTTCACATCAATTGAAGAGAAGAAGGCGAAAAGTCGAAGATGGAAAGATTTATAAACTGTTTTCATACTTACTCAATAATTTAATCTTCAGTTTTTTCTTAAAAGAGGAGAGGGATTGAGAGTTGATGATCTTGTTGTCAAGTGAATTAAAAAACTTAGGCCCTTGAAAAAAGGGCGAGAACTTCTTCGTGTTTACGACAATACGGTAGACGGTAGGCCTGGGAATTTCTTGTATTGTAAGAGTGGAATTGATTGCTTTGAGAGAAATTGTTATTAAACTTTGGAGGTAAGAATGAATTTTTGCAAGAATACATAAATTGGCCCAGTTGAAGCAAATGGATATCATTAAATTTTAGTATACCGAGGTCCTTAAAGATGGGGTCAGTATGAGCATTAAAATGTGATTTATTAATAATTCTAATAATGCGCTTTTGCAGGATAACAAGGCGGCGGAGGTTAGTTTTATAGGTCGAAGCCCAAACGATATTGCAGTAGTAAAAATAAGGATAAATTAAGGAATAGTAGAGCATACGTAAAGACGATT